CATACTCATAACATCTTGAGTATTAATCAACAAATTACTGACATTAATTCATGGTCTCAATTTGGTTAGGATGTTGATTGTAAGGGCTATCAGTAAATTCTTGGTCTCTAGATGATATAAGTAGAGTGGATAGATTAGGAATGTTTCGGTTAGAATCTTGCAGAAATGTAAATAGATCAGAAGGTAGAAACTCAAGTTCATTAGAACTTGATTCAGAAGCTACTGATGGAGAATAGGTAGATGTAAAGATAGGTGTGTTGGATTGTGATTTAAGAAAAATATCATGTGAATCATTGACAGATAGAATTTAGTAATTTGGTAGTATATTGTGTTCATGTGGTAAGTACACATGTACTTCACTTTTATTACTGTAAACAGTAATAAAAGCATAATCTGCTAGTTTGCTTAATAAAGGAAGTTGATAATAAGTAAGAAATTTGTTATAGCATATTTCCAAATCATAGGAATTGGATGATATTGGTAATGATTTGGATGAATGTCCTTCTGTAGATGCGCTCGCCATTTTAAGCTCAGTTTTCACAGCTGTGAAGGGTTCCATAGTCTGCCATGTATGTTTGGTCTGACCATCATTAGCCTGGTCCTCCGCATAAATGGACTTAACCACCTGTTCACTTACATTATTCTCTTCTGAGAAAGGCCCACTAGAAGTGGAGGATGTCGTTATCTTAGAAGCGGTGGCTGCTTTAATAGAATCTATAGAAGGAATTATTAAAAAGGATTATATGAGAGAGTAGAAATGAGTTGAGAGTTTTGTTGTAAGTTTTTGTTGGGGTTGGAGTTTTTGTTATCAGTAGTTTGGTTATTTGTATTGACAGTAGAATCATCATTTGAATCTGTCATAATAACATTATCATCTTCATTAAGTTCAGAAGAAGATGTTTGGTCTTGGTTGGACTTAGATGTAGAAGTTTGATTGGTGGTATCCTTGGGATGTTGTGAAGTAGAGGATTTGGGTGGGCTGGTAGTTCCAGAATAAAAGAAGATGTTTGATGGAATTTTTGGTGTTTTGAAATTAATCTTAAACTTGGTATGTATAATATCTTGTGCTTGAAGAAAGAGGGTTTCTTTGTAAACTTTTTTAATATATGCAATAGAAAGTTTATCTTCAGTTTTTAAGATATGGAAATAAGTAAGAACTCAGGCAAGATAGTCAGTTTTTATGGGCTTGTTAGTGATTTTATTAATTGCTTGTTGAAGATAGAGATTGTTGATTTGATCATTTTAGTAGCGGCATTGAGAAATGCATTGAGGTAGCTATAAAAATAGTAACTTTCACGAGAGGAATCTGTTACTACCTTATTTAGCTCCATGAATTTTTCTTCAGTCTCAGTAGCAAGTTTGCGAAGAAAAGGAATTGGAGTAGGTTTTTGAAATGTTGTAGCATGTTGTTTGTCCTTGTCAAATATAGAAAAGTCAAGGTCAGAATGTGTATATACAATTTTGGATGTTGTAGAAGTAGTTTTAGGGGAGCAGAAAAGTGATTAAATGATTCTTTAAAGAAGAATATAGATAGATTTTTAATATTATGTTCAGTGTCTTTAGGTATAGTAGTGCAGTTTTCGATAGTGCAAGTGTGAATGTGATATAGTGCAGCTTTAAAACATAAGAAAGATCTTTCACGTAATGAATTAATACTAGTAATAGCAAATTCTTTAGGAAGGAGTGCTTTATATATGTTAGAAAGCTTAAGACCAATTTGATATTTGATATGATTAAATATTTTTTGTTTGTCGATATTAGTAAATTGCCGTTTGTAGATATCAAAAAATTTGTTAAACCAAGATTCAAAGTCTGGTATGTATTTTTTAAGAGAAGGTATTTGGAAGGTTTCTAGGAAATGTTTTTTAGGTATATTGAATGAAATATTAATGTGGAATTTGGAATTATTTTAAATTTTGAATAGTAGTTGATTGATGCTGTCCTCACTAATATAGTAATGAAGCTTGAAATGAATTGGTATAATGTTAAGATTTTCATAGAATTTGTTAGAGTTAATTGTTTTGTATTTGTCATGTAAAATAAGATGTAGGTGAGCTAGGTTAAATGCTACCTGTTTTCTGTTAGAAATAGAATATGGTGGGATAGAATTATAAGATGAAAAGAATTTAGGATAGTTAAGTTGTGTAAATAGAGTAGTAGTAAATTGCTTGAATAGTGCAATAAAGGTAGAAAGGAGAAGTTCGAAAGGGATTTCAATGTCTAAATTAATAGTGGGGTTGCTGTCATGAATGAAATCAGTAAGAAATTTAGATTTTTTCTCTGCTAAGACTTTAACAAGGTACATGTAATTGAATTTAGATTCTTGTTGATTGTTTGAGGCTGGTCTAATAACTTTGTCAGGATAAACATCGATGAGGTGTGGTCTAATAAAGTCAAATAGCTGGTAAGCAATTTGAGTATTAAATTTGTTGTTTGGCTCCATGAATGAGGTAACTGGGTATTCTTTAAACCAGTCTATATCATTAGTAGTATCTTGCGAGGTTTGATTTTGTTTTTGTTTTTGCTTTTGTTCACTAGTAAATTGTTTTGTCTTAGCTTTTTTTAGAAAAATTTTTTTGTAGAGATTAACTTTGTTCTTTGCAGACATTTGAGAAAGTTTATAAAAGGCAATTATTTTTTTGTGGTTAAAGCCAAGTGGAGATGTTGGTGTAATAAGTTTGAGTTTAATATCGAGAAGTTGAGATGAGCAAGTTCTATGAATTAAAGCATTTTTAAAGATAGCGGCAGCTGTATATTCTGATGCATGATTTTGTTGATCTTCGGTAAGTACACAGAGGATGTTTTTAACTTTGCAAATAATGCAGGTATGATAGTGATGTTAGTGAGCAAGAATAGCTATAGGTGCATGATCAGTTTGGAAGTTGGAAAAAAGAATACGTGGATTGGTTTGAGATGAATCAGATGTATTTGGAATTTTGGTAATAGGTGAAGCAGATAATTCGTCAGTTTTTTTGAAACTGTTTGCAAAGATTGTAGACCTAGTTTGTAGTTGTGATTGGAGTTAACCCATTGTTGTAGGATGATTAATTTTATAAAATTAAGAAGTAAAACTTGTGTGGTATTTACTACACAAGCAAGTTGAGATTGCAGGTTGTAGAGGAACTTTAAAATAATGTTGTTGTTTTTTGTCGTTGCAGTAGTCAGGTTTTGCATCAACAGGAAGAACACAGAGTAATTGAGGCTTGTTTTTATTGAGTCCTACACCATGACGGTCTTTATATCTAGAGTAATAGTAGTCAATATCATAGGAATCTGGCTCTTGTGAGTCAGCTAAGATAGGCATTTTGATATTGAGTTGAACTACTAATTTTTTTCAGAGAGTGTGATGAATAAGGGGTGTGACAAATAAGGAGATGTGATGTATAAGAGGTGTGATGTATAAGGGGATGTGACAAATAAGAAGTCACCTGGTGTGACAGTGGGTGATCGACAGGATCGATGTATAACAAAAGTTGTGTAATTTGGTTAAAAATAAATTAGTAAAATTAGATTAAAATTAAAAATAGATGAGACAAAAATAAAATTTGTGTAAACTAATTTGTAATATTAATTTGTAAGCTAGGATCTGCAGGTCTAGGCGTCCTAGGAAGGCAGGGTTCCCCCAAAAAAGCAAAAAAGTTTTGCAAAAATAAAGTGCAATTTTTGCAAAAGAGTTTAGAAGTATTTTAGCTATAAAATTGTAAGTTTTGGTCTGTGTTTGATGTACTATATATCAAAATGAAGCTAAAGATTAGCTGAATCTTTTTGTTTTAATAAGCAGAGGCAGTTTACTTAATAAAATCTTTAGTTTTAGGAAAGAAACAAAAAAACAAATTTAGTTATATCTCATTAATGAAGGCCTTTAGAGATATAAAACTAGACTGCTTATATGTAAAATTTTGTTAGAAACAATTTTACTTAGGCAGCCAAAATAGGTTTACTTAGTAAGAAATTGAGAAAAGTGCAATTGTTTTTAGGAAAATTTGGTACAAGTGATCGTCGGGAAGAGTTAGTGATTTGCATCCTATAAAGTTCAATTTATTATATTGGATATTTATAAACAGATATAGAATTTTCTAAAAGCTTTTGCTTATGGCTTAAATAGAAATAGAAGGATTCTTAAATAGTTATATAAATTAGAAATAAACTTTATATTCTGTAGTTTTATAGTATACAATTTTTAGCTTTATATATAGGTTAAAGTATATTTTAGCTAGATTTTATTTTTTTTTTATATATTTTTCTACCCATAGCTTAGTTCTTTATATTAAGACTAGGTTTTTGTAGTATTAGTATAATAGCTAATGGGTATTTAATCATCAGTCTATAACTAATAGAAAAAAGTTCTTAGTAAGTTTTGAACTCAGAAGGAGGACAAGAACTATTGAGGCAAATCACATCTAAGTATTTACTTAGGTGAGCTTTTTTATAGATTAGATTGTTAATATTATAGAAGAATTTCTTAGAACTTTAATTGAAATAAACAAAGGCAGAACAGCCAAATTAAAAACTTATAATAATAATAATTTAAAAAACAAAAAATAATTTAATTAATAAAAAACAAAAATAAATAAAAAAATTAATTTAAAAAGTTTACTTAAAAAAGTTGATGTAAAAAAATATTAGTTTAAAAAATAGTTAATTATAAAAAAAAAACCAATTTAAAAAAATCTTTAGTAATTTAAAAAAGAAAATAACTAATTATATATAGTGTTTATATATGTTAATTATAAAGAAAAAGCTAATTTAAAAAAATTTTTAGTAATTTAAAAAAGAAAATAACTAACTATATATAGTGTGTTTATATACAGATATTAATTTGTAAATATGTATAACATATAAATCAAAACAATTCATATAAGAATAAAAATTTAAATACTGTCTTAGATTAGAGTAAAGGTAAGTTTGAGATGGAGCAGAAAATAGCTTATACTAAAATTTCTTAAGAAATTTTTAATTAATATCCAAAAGGCAGTTTTATAAACAAAATTTTAAGTTATAACTAATTTTTTAAAGAATGCATTAATTTTATATTACACCTAATTGTTTGATTTGATTGGCTTTCTATATACTCATGTTTAAATATATATATACAAATAAAAATTTCAAACAAAACAAAAAATCTCTTTACTATAGATTCTAATTTTATAAAAAATAAAACAACAATCCAAAATACATAAAAACTATAATTAATTAAATAAATAAAATACAGATTGCTCTAAAGAATCTAAACACAATACAAAGTATACATAACAAACAACAAATATAAAGTAAAAAAAAGTAGCAACAACTATATAACAAACAACAAAAAAAATATAAAGCTCTTGGGCCTTATTATACTATTTACATTAAACATATAATCACAACTTCAAATAGGCAACAATAATAATATTAATACTAACAACAACAAAGGAAAAAAAATACAAATTAAATCTAACTCCATCTACACAAATACAAGTGCCAAAAGATAGTAAATGCTTCTTCTAAACTACTTCCTAATATAAAAAGTGGGCAATTTAGCTTACCTCCATCAAAAAATAAGATAATATTATCATTGATTAACAACAACAACTACCAAATAATACATACAGGTTTTAATCCTTTTAGTAAAATTAACTTACAAACAATTTACACAAAATAACTATTGCAATTTTTGTTTATTCTATAATTAACATAGTAATATTATCTAATTATTGCCTAATTATACAACTTTGTATAACACGTGATCTGTGTAATATATGTTGTATAATACATGACTTATACAACCTTAACTTCCTAAATTATACAAGGTATATGAGCCACAGTAGCTATAATAATACTCCTGTAAATATATACACTCTCATAACAAGTCTTTAATATATTATATACCTATATCTTTAAATTTTTCTAAGAAACATAATATAAAAAAACATAACATTTCAAAGCTTATTTTATTTCCTTCTTAAATTTAGTAACCATTTCTTTAAAATATTCCTTATTTAAAATTATTTGGATACAAATAAACCACCAAAGGCCGTCAACCCTTATGGTTTATACAAATTTCTCAACTTAATCAAACAAATACTATATCTACAACTTGGCCTTCTCTTAATCTACCTTCTACAAATACCTTTATTAATACTATTGACCTCTTATCTACATCTTTCCTCTCTAATCCATCCTCATTTCTTCAAATTTCTTATACAAATAATCAACAAATTTATCTTTCTCATCAAATTAATCCTACACAACTCAATATTTACAAAGTTACAAATTCAACACCTGGTCTTATTTCACTTACTTCCTCTATATTACCATCTTTACCAACCTTTTATTCTTTTAAACTTCCTTACAATCAACTTAAGTTTTATGATAATCAATTACAAATTGACTATCAAGAAATTTTAGCTCTCATTCATATTAATAATCATTCTTTAGTACCAACTACTCTTCCACCTCAACTCTAATTAAATATATCCTCTTATGAACTTATTCAACAAACAGTAAATTCACCTACTTACCAAAATTAATTAATTCAACTCTTTCACCTTATAAATAACCTTAATCACAACACTTTAGAATTCTATACAAATGGCTCTATTAAAAATATCTAATCTCCAAATATTCAAACTGGCATAGGATGGGTTTGCAAATCTCATGCCTCTATTTGCTTTAATGCCAATACTCATTCATACTCTGACTCTATTCGTATTGAACTAGAGGCAATCTTTAGTCTTCTTCTTGCTTTGCCATCCAACTCCTCTATCAATATCTATATTGACAACAAGACTGCAATCAAGAACTTACAATCTACCCTTCCTACCAAACTTATACAAAACAAAAATTGGGATATTATCTTTTCTATAAATTATCTTAAGAACACTAAAAACATTAATATACAACTTCACAAAGTTAAATCTCACTCTAATAATTTTTATCACAACCAGGCTGACTTACTCACTAAAAGAGGATGCTCCAAAACAAATATTTTATTTTCCTTCCCATTTTTTCCAAATCACTTTTCATGGAATAACCATCTAATACCTTTTAAAATGCGTATCTTTATTAAAAATACTATCACAATTCAAAAACTCTCAAAATGGTCTATGCTAAAGTTCACTAAAGATATTTCAGAAATTAAATGAGCTCTAAACTTCAAAATATTAAAATCCTTAGAATATAATATATTTAAATATTCTTTTCGTATTAAAATCCTTACAAACAATCTTCTTACTATGAAAAATCTTAATATTTGATACTCTCATCTCTACAACACATCAACATGTTCTCGATGCTATAACTCTGAAAACACTCTTCATCTACTTATTTGTCTCAATAATAATATCAATCTTTCTCATAGATTCATCAACATAATTCAAACAACTCTAACAACTCTTCAAATTTCTAACAATTTCTCCAATACTCTTCTTAATATCTTACTAAACTTTACTGCCAACTCTTCTAATCCACACTACCTCTCTATACTATATGCAATTACTGGCACCTTTACAACTACTATATACAACAATATCAAAATATTACTCAACAAACATACTAACTCTTTTCTTATTAATCTCTCTAATAATCTCTTATCTTGGTAGTGTCAAGAACTATAGTTTATTCGTAACATCTATCAACATCAATGGGAACTCTCTCAAAATATCACTGCCAAAGCTAAACGTACAAAATCTTATCTTCCAAATACATTTATTTCTTCAAATAATTCTCAATTTACAATACAATCTTTAAATATTAATCTCTTTATTAATAAATAGCTCTTACAAGAATATGCTTTAACTGCATGCTTTACTTAATGCTATGACTATCACCTTAGGTCTCCTCCAACCTATTCTAGCTAGAAATTAATTTGAAATAATTAACTATAGCATTTTATAGAAAATAGGATGTGTAATGTCACATTGGGTGCCTTATGTAATACAAATGTAGTTAAATATCTTTAGGTTTAGAATTATTTTTCTATTTGTAATAAAGTTTCTACTATGGCATTATATTAATAAAAAAAAAAAATAAAAAAAAAAAAAAAAATATTTGGAAAAAATTCAATCAATATATCTATATCAATTAGATAAGAGTCTAACTCCTTAGATCTAGATGCTTTTTATCAAAACTATACAAACACTTTTGGAGTTACAGACTATGAAGATGAATTAAACAAAGCTAAATCTATGCCAGCTCAATTCAAATCTACTGCTTGTATTACTAAAACTCTTTATAATTACAAAGCTATATATTTTTTTTCAGCTTCTACATCTACTGCTACTGTTAAATGCTTTTGTAGCAATTATCACACCTACTTCATTTCCTTAACTAACAAACAATATAATATATCTTTTACAGCAATCCTACTACATCTAATAGTCAAATCAAAAAACTTCAATATGCTCTGGCTAGCTCTACTACTACTATTTCTGCCTCTTCTATTTTAACAATATATACTTATACATGTTCTAAATGTTGCAACCAATTAGCTGTAAAGTTACTAATAGAAATTATAGACTTCAAGACAATGCACTTTTCTATAGTAATGAAGCTTATCATACTGAATGCTTAAAAAACTTATAAGAATAAGAACAACAGCATGAAACATCTAAAATAGAAACCAATGACAACAAAACTACTATACAGACAGATATCTTTAACAATATTAAATTTATTTCTCAACTTCAATATCAACAAATTTTATCTAAACAACAAACTAATTAAAAACAACAACATGAATCTAACAATAAACAGACTCAACAACAACAATCTCAACACTCTAAAAATAAATCTACTTTAGGTCTTGATTGGCTTAAAACCTATCCTATTACAGACCAAATAGAAACTCATACTAAATTACAAACTACTTTATCCAAACAATTACTAACTTTTCTCAAACAACATCTCTACAACTTTTATCCTGGTAAAGAAATCAAATCTAAAACTAAACACAGACCAGCCCTTAAAGCATCCTTCTAATATATTATCTGTGTAATAGCTGCTAGCAAACCAGAATTTCTATCTGAATTAATCTATAAAGCAAACCCAGAAGTTACACCTAATGCTTCTATTCTCTTCTAATTTTTTGAATTAACTCTCAGAAATCTTATTCTTAAATTTATACTATCCTTTTTACCAAACTCAATTACATAAAAATCTTCGAATTATTTGCTACCTTCCCACCCTATACTAACTTGTAAAGACTTCTTGTCTGTCTTAATATTGCACGCTTGCATCTATATCTATTTGATGATTATCAAACAATTAATCATGACAAATTTGTACAAGATCTCAACTTTACTTCAAAAAAATTCTTTATCACTTTTGAGGTTACTAGCACAGATTCACAAGAAGAATATTTCTCTATTAGATCTGATGCTAGATATAATACTCATATACAATTCAACTTACTAGTCTTTCTATTTCAAGAACAATACAATATTCCTTCTCTTAAAAATTCTGACACAACCTTTAACAAATGGTTTGACAAACAATTCCCAATTTATTGCAAGCAATTCTTTACTAATCCCAACTCAGATAAAACTCGCTTAATGGTCCAACTTCAATTCATAGACAATTTATCTTACATCTCACCAAACTACTTCTAACATTATTTAACTTTCTGGAACCAATCTCTGCAAGAGACAGAAAATTTCATTTAACTAAATTCACTAACTATCATATATTCACATGCAAAGACCAAAATTGCACTTATAGAGACTCCAACAAAAATTATTTACACAATAAAAAGAAACTTTACCAAGATACTCTTCAACAATTCTACAGCCTATTCTAAAAAAAATTCCAAGAAAATGAACCTACTTGGATTGAACCTAAACTTAACTCCTCCATCTTTCATATTGATAATAAATATAAAGCTACCTTTGCTAAACAAATACCTACCTTATTACTTGACAAACTTGCATCTGCAACTGAAGAAGAGGCCTGTAAACTCAATAATGTAAAAACAAATAAGGAGAGATGTGGCTATTACTTCTACTAATATTTAGCCTCTTATCATAAAACAGCTGCTCAAAATCATAATATTACAGACTTAACTAAAGAAAAAGCAATCAACCACCTTACAACTAATCCTATTGATCCAAACTTCTTAGCATACATTATAGTTTACTACGAGAAAATTAACAACCAAAACCCTGATGAGCCACCTTCTATGTCTACTATTATTAGTTTCTTTAATAAAACTGCCTTATCTTAAGTAGAAGAAATACTCAAACAGAAATTCAATCTCAATTTTCAACCCATTCTTTTTGAAGATATGCTCTTCTTTGATTCCTCCCCTTTTCAGCAAGAGAGTTCAGAACAATAAAGGAGGAATTAGTTTCTAAATCCTGCTACAATAAATTTTTATCTTACTATAACCTTTCAACTACTATGTCTTTATATACTCTATCATCTTTTCTTTATCTCCTTCAACAAATTAAATTTTCACAAAATCCTACTATTTCTGTTAATAAACAACAAACTAAAACTCATATTTACCTTCTATATGAACATATACTTCTTCCTAATTACAAACTAATTGAGCAATTTAACTATAATAAATACTTTCACTTACCTCTCAAATTCTCTAACAACTACAAATTTCTAAATTCTAATCTGGAATACCTCACTCCTCTACTACTCCAAACCTCCCACCTAATCCACTCACTTTATTCAAAGACTACTACACAAACCAACTATTAAATTCACCCAACATAACTCAAAACCTTCACAACTAATCTACATTTACACTTGAACAAATTAAAACCTACTTTCTCAACACAAATGAACTATCCTTTTCCAAACAAACCTTACTTTACAACTTCATAACTGAAAACCAAATAAATATTTTTGATCTTTCTGAAACTCATTTAAGTACTAAAAAGCAAAACTTCTTCCACTATCTCAAAATCTTCCTAACTATACCAACCTCTGGAGTGAAACTAACAACACTAGACTTTTAATACATAAAAATCTCTCTAAATTCATCAGCAAAATACAAGAATACAAAGGCTATATTCTTACTATAAATTTTTCTCTACCAAACTAACCTGTCTGACTTATACAACTATACTTTCCTACTAAAGAAAAACAAGCTCTTAAAAAAGAAATATATGAAAAACACTCCTTTTTATTCAAAAAACTAACCATAAAATTATTATTATCAGAGATTTTAATGTATTACCAAACCCTAAAATCAATCAACTACCATCTAAAAAGACTCAAACTCCAGAATCCCAACTAATTAAATACCTTAAACCTAACTTTCATGACACCTTCAGAACCTTTCACACTAATCTTTCTAAATTTACTTGCTATTACAAAGAACATCAAAGCAGAATTGACCAAATCTGGACAAACTTACATATCACTACCCTAGATTATGCAGATATCTTGGACACAATTCCTACAGACACAGATCATAACATTACTCTTTTAGAAATTACTCTAACTGCTGCTTCAT